AAGAGAGAGAGAGAGAGAGAGAGATGAGAGCAATATGAGAGATAGAAAGAGAGAGAGAGAGAGAGAGAGGGAGAGAGATGAGAGAAAGAGAAAAGAGGGAGAGAGAGGGAAAGAGAGAGATACATGTTTCCCCACAGAAAAGAAAACAATGGAAGCCACAAAACCTGGGTAGGTGTGACTGGAGGGGTCATGTGACTTGGTGGGAGTGAATGACATGGAGATGGCCACACCCACCCAGGTTTTGTGGCTTCCATTGTTTTCTATGGGAAATTGGTCCAAATGGCTCTTTGAGTGTTTAAGGTTGCAGGCCCCTGGTCTAGGATGGTCACAGTTGAAACTGTGGTTTCCCAGTTGAAACTGTGGTTAAGTCTGTTCATAGGTTGTGAAATGATGGAGTTCTCATTATATCTTCTGACAGCTAATTGGTGTTCATGGATGTGTTCTGCTAGTCTTTCGGTATCCTAGTTTTAGGTAAGGAAATGTCTGCAAGAAAACAGCCAAACGCAGAAGCACCAAGAACTCATTTCAACTCTGAGCTACAAATATCCTTTATGACCTTACTTAATTTAGTAATCACACCAGGCAATTACTTATTTGCTAAGTGACCATACTTTCACTACTGTGAACCAATAAAAATGAAATTGTAGCTGTGATTACTTCAAGAACTGTTCTGTATTTATTTTTCTGTATAGTTGGAACTCAATGATTTGGGGATCATTATTGCAAATGCAGTTTCATAGCAGTGGATTTTAATGAAGTGGATAGTGAAGTTGGAGATAGATATTGTCTGTTTTTTTATAATTAGGCATACAGTTTATATATAAACTATCAGTGTTATCTTGTCCCAAATCCAAAACTTTATCTGTCAGCAAAGTATTTGACCTTCACACTTGCCAGGCATTCTTCAATTTTTAAGCATGAGGCTGACCTTCTCAGTTTCTTAAGTAACAATAAGCAAATTTGTTAAATCTTCAAACTGGTAATGAATTGCTAATTCTTATTTAGATAGGTACTGTATGTCTCAAGTTATTGACAATTACTGTAGTTTGAATGCAGTTTAACATATACAACAAAAAGGAGACCGATATCAGGGAAAATATCCAGAAATCTTTTATTGGTTAACTTTCAAGATTTCATGACCTTTTACTAACTTAGATGACTTAGAATCTAAAACAATGGGAGTAGTGGGATGTGAGCGTTGTTTTTGCTGTACCAGCTTGTACTCTTAAATGGGGTTTTGGATAGCTTGCAGAGAAACTATGTGTTTTTCACTTTTTAGCCAAGAAAAATAGCTTTACTTCAGCTACTTTTCTGGTAACAGGAACAAATATTTCTTGCCAGGCACTAACATCCACACAATTCCTATCACTTTGATCTTCCAAAAAGCTTTAAAGAACTGGCTTTTCTCCCGAGCATCGGGATGGGGTAAGGCTGGAGCCCAGTGATTCTGACTGTTTATGTATTAGGGAGTGTTGCTTAGAGCACCAGGAGTTGTTTTGTGGGTGCTGGTTTTCATTGCTTCTTTTATCTTTTTATTGCTGTTGGAATGAGTTGCCCACAGTTATTGCTGTTGGGAGAAGCAACCATATGCCTCATAAATACATAAATATCATCTTAGAACTGAAACCTTGTGCAAACAGTATCAATACTAACCACATTGTTATTCCTCTCCATTGTCACTGTTAAAATTGCATCCTGTTTCATTTATTTACGTTTCTTATTTCTAAACTGCTCATCTTTCTCAAAGACGGGCTTCTTTGCTGTATGTCAGTCTAGGGAGCAACATAGGTTATAATTCAATAATAGTACTACCAATATGTTTAGAAATAAAATACAATTAGTCCTGGATTTTATTTCAAATTTAAAAGTTTTGTTAAATGTTATCATTAAAAGTGGCCAGCATTTTCCAAGTTAGACTATATCAAAGAGCTTGTTATAGTTCCCTAAATATTTGGATTAAAAAGAGGGGTGCTTCCAGCTCTTCTTCTAATTTGCTGAAAGCTAATCATAAAAAAACAACAGACTATTTTCATTTTGTTTCTGTTCTGTAGCACCTCCATGCCTTGCAAGGTATTACATCTAGACTTAGAATTTTGACATGAAAGAACTACATTTAAATTTTAAAAAATGCTAACAGTCATCTTGCAAAATTACAATATTGCTATTAACTGAACTCTTGTTCAAACTGACTAAACCAAAAAGTAGTCTTGCTGTGGAAACTAAATATCACTAAATGTAAACATATCTTAGTTGTACATAGTAGAAATATAATGAAAATTCTGGTTGTCAACACACACATATATTGCTTATAATTATTCTATCTTATGAGTTAACATTGTGTACAAGTAGTCCTTCACTTACAGTCATTTGCTTACTTGAAGTAACTTNAAAAAGGCAACATTTTTGCATGGTATACAAAGGTTTTTTAGTTTTAAATATTTTTAACAATTACATAGAGGTTTTATATAACTATTTTATATTTATTTTAGAGGATTGTATAGTGCCCGGAGCAATTTTCCATGAGATGGGCAGTCATATGTAATAAATTGATTTTTGTGTACAGCCCAATTCTACACATAAGGTTAGTATCTATGTTCAATGTACAAAAGCAGTCGGAATCTTCTCTCCATATAGCACTAGCATGCCTTTTCCTAGTGTTTATCAAATTTGACAAACTTTCTTGATCAGGATAAAAGAAAAGAGTGAAAAGGTTGGCTTGAAACTCAGCCTTAAAAAACTAAGATCGTGACATCCAACCCCATCACTCCCTGCCAAATAGAAGGGGAAGAAATGGAAACAGTGACAGATTTTATTTTCTTGGCTTCCACGATCTCTGCAGCCAGGACACCTGCAGCCATGAAATTAAAGCACACTTGCTCCTTGGGAGGAAAGCTATAACAAACTTAGACAGCATAATAAAAAGCAGACACACCACCTTGCCAATAAATGTCCATTAAGTCAAAGCTATGGTTTTCCCAGATGTAATGAGAGTTGAACCATAAGGAAAGCTGAGCACCAAAAGAACTGACACTTTTGAATTGTGGTGCTTACACTTCAAGAAGATCAAAATCAGTCAACCCTAAAAGAAACCAACCCATTGTCCTTTGGAAGGACAAATTCATAAGTTGTAGCTCAAATATTTTGGCGACCAGATGAGAAGAGAGAACTCATTGGAAAAAGACCCCAATGTTAAGCAAGATTGAAGGCAAAAGGAGAAGACAGCAGAGGATGAGATGGCTTAGATCGTGTCACGGACTCAACGAACATGAATTTGGGGAAACTTTGGATTTGGGGAAACTTTGGGAACCCTGAAAACATAAATTTGGGAAGACAGTGGAGGACAGGGGGGCCTTGTATGCTGCGGTCCATGGGGTCACGAAAAATTGGATACAACTTATCGATTGAAGGTGGTGTGCCGACTTCAACACCCAGCCAGTTTTTCAAATCCAAACATCTTTAAAAATTGCCAAATTTGAGGGACATGGCACCGCATAGCAGGCCCTGCAAAAGACTCAATCTCTCCCAAAAGAGAAGAGCGGGACAAGGTTCCCAACCCTAGGTAGGAATGGGCGGCAATCATCACAATAGTCCCGCCTAGTAGTAGTAGCAGCAGTGGTCCCCAAACTTAGCAACTTTAAGACATGTGGACTTCAACTCCCAGAATTCTCCGGCCAGCTATGGAAGATTTTGATCTTGAAGCTATGCTGGGAGTTGAAGTCCACAAATCTTAAAGTTGCTAAGTTTGAACACCTCTGTAGTAGTGGATCGTTAGACCCTCCACAATCAGTTGCGCGCGCTTTCAGCCTCTTCCCACCCCCACCCCCTGCGCGCGCTAAAATACGCCTCGCGGGCCTCGAGCCTCACTCGCCTATCCCAGCATGCACCAGACCGGTAGCGTCTCCGTCGCTGCTCCTTTTCGTCGCTTCTATTTCCTCCGGTGGCCCACAATCCCACGCGGGCCGCCACCGCCGCCGCCGCTCACCCCCCTCTCCCCTCCGCCCCAAAGCCGCAAAATGGCGGACACAATGAGCCAGAATTGCCGCCGCCTTCTCCCCGCCGCCTGAGGTGGAATCCCGCCCGAGGGCACAGTCGCTTCGGCCCTTCGCCGGCCCGGCCTTCTCCTCCCGCCTTTCCCCTTCTCCTCCCGCCCGTAGGTTTAGTAGCCCTGCCCGACTCCGCTTCCCTCACCTTGGTCGGCGCGCAGGCCCCGCCGGCTCCCTTTCCCCGCGGAGGAGGAGGCGGCGGCGGCATGAAGCTGACGGACAACGTGCTGCGGAGCTTCCGCGTGGCCAAAGTGTTCCGCGAGAACTCGGACAAGATCAACTGCTTCGACTTCAGCCCGAATGGCGAGACGGTCATCTCCAGCAGCGACGACGACTCCATCGTGCTCTACGACTGCCAGGAGGGAAAGTGAGTGGCGATGTGGGGGGTGCGAGGAGCTTTTCGCGGGAAAAAGGCCTTTCTCGGGTTAGGGAAGGCGGGATAAAGACCCGAAGGAGAGAAGCGGCTTTTCTTTTCACCCAAAGAACGGGTCTTTTGAGCTTTTTTTAGTTTTATTTTAAAAGCTTTATTAAATATATTTCAACATTAAACATATAGTCCCAATCATTACAGCGTTTCTGTATCAATGTCACTCACATTAACATAGTTACTAGCTATAGAGATTACTATACTATATATTATATATGCAATTAAATTATAGCAATATTTACGTACATATCCGTTTCTCTTTTTTATATATATCTTACATATTCTATATGCATTAGCTTTATGGCTGTCTTCCAACCAAATGTACCGTATATTTGAGATTTTATAGAATCCGGGTTCTTCTCTGTCCTTTAACTCCATGGTTAACCTATCCATCTCTGCACATTCAAGTACCTTTCTTATTATCATTTGCTCAGAGGGGGCTCTTTTGAGCTTTTAATGGTTGGGGGGGAGAGATGTTACTTTTTTAGGATGCTCAGGTGCATCTCTCAGTCTGCATTGTAGGAACAAGGTCTGAAAGTAGAAGAAACCAGGGACATTTTTTTATCTTGCTCTGAAAAAGATTTGTGATAAGCCTAAATCAGGGGTTGGCAATCTTAAACACTCAAAAGAGCCATTTGGACCTATTTCCCAC